CTTTGCTCCAGCCTGTCACTTGCGGCCTGGGGCTCAGCCTGACTAGTTAGGTGAGACAGAGATGGCTGCAGGGCCAACATGGCAGAGCCTGGGAGTCCTTCGGAAACGGACGGGGTGTCTGAAGTGCTCAGTGCCTCCACTCCCAGCTACCCCAAGGCCGACTCAATCTCTCGGCTGGAAGCAGTGTTTTCCCAGAGCTTGGCCCTTGCTGACCTTGCTCACTGGGCCCATCTTCCCACACTGCTCTTAGAAGGGCAACCCTACCAGTAGCAGCCCCAAGCCAAGGGGGCTCCCTTTTTGACCTTCACTGGCCCGCCCTTTACTGTCTCTGGCAGGAGTTCCTAGGGCTTGGCCTGCCTTGCTCCAGTATAGCAGAGGCAGCCCTGCTTGTCACTGAGGAGTCCTAGACAAGGCCAATGGGTTCAGTGATGCCCACTGGCTCTCTGCCAAAGCCAAAAAGAGGTGTCAGGCAGTCTCCAGCGTGCTAGCCGGGTCTTGGATGCCACCCCTGCTCATTGAGCCTGCATGGGCCTTGCCCCCGACCCTGTGGTCTCTGAGATTGGGGTCGGCTTACCCTGTAGCACAGACAGGGACTCCTGCTGCCCTGGGAGCTATCTCAAGCAAAATCTCTTGTCCCAGGGGCGCTCATGTGGGTCTGCTGTGTCCCCTGTCATCATCCTTGTTTTTTCTCATTTTGGCCAAGGGCAGGCTCCCTGGGACAGGCAGGGAACAACTGCAGATATATTAGTGATTCATAGGTTTGTACAGTGTTTTATACTTTGCAAAGCACTTTATTAGCTCACACCTGTCCACTCACATGAAACTCGTGTAGGCCCTGGGAGGCCGAAGGTAACTCTCACCGTGTGCTCAGATGAAGCACAAAGAGGTTGTTACTTGCCCGGGCCATCCAGTGGGCTGGCTGTGTCTTATGTCCCCATCTGTGGACCCCTCTAGGGTCTGAGATGAGATGAGAAGTGTCTCCTGTATCCACCTCTTCCTGGCCTCCCTTCCCCCACTTCCTGGTCCCTGTCCACTCCTCAGGTTGGTGCTCTCACTTCTTGAAAGCTCTAGGCACCCCCGCCTCCCGCCAGGCTCCCTGTTGGCTCCTGGCAGGCCAGCTGAGAATGAGCAGGAGATGGAGGCAGGCAGCCCAGGCTGCAGAGGTGAGGGATATGGGGCCAGGCCCAGAGGCCTCAGCCTAGAGGCTTCCAATCTCAGATTCTCCTGCCTGTGGTCATCTGTTTGTCCATCACCCCAGGACAGGGCAGACGGAGGGGCAAAGCACTGGGGGCCCCAGAGCCTAGCTTCCCCTCAGCCTGGGGGACATCACAGCATTTCAGTGTCAGTCACATTTTAAACTGATCAGCCTTTGTATAATGTTTTTTAAATCATTTATAAATAAAACAGAAATACAGAGTGTGTCTTTTCCCTGGGATGAGGGAACAAAGATCAGGTTCCAAAAGTAATCTTAAGCTCCGGGAGGAGAACCGGGGTCCTCTGGGGTGTCTGGGAGCTGCCTCACGCATCTGGTCTGCCAGATGCGTCCTGAGGATCCAGGATGGGGAGCAGCCCCCCTCAGGAGTATGGGGAGGGTCACTGTGGCAAGGGCTTCTCCAAAGTCAAGGCCCCTGGTGCCATGACCTGAGACACATAGTCAAGAGCACGGCTATCAGCAATTAAGATATTAATAAAAGGCAGACGAAGTCAGGAGGTCAGCAGCTTTACGGGCTTATCAGGAGGCCTGCCCTGCCTCTGGAAGCCAGCGACAGAGAGGGATGCCCCCGACCCAGCCAGCCGGAGAAAGGGATGGGGTGAACACGAAGGTCTGAGCTGGGTCTGGGTGCAGGCTGGGCTGTAGGCCGCGAAGGCGGCCCGGCCGGGACTTCTTTCCAGTCCTCGGCGACCTCTTCGAATTCTCTGCTATCTCTGGGGAGCCTCGGGTGGAAGAGGGTGTAAGAGACGCAGGGACGTGGGGAGAGGAGACAAGGCAAGCAAGAACCACAGGGGACGGCGGACAGACGGGCGGCATCCTCCGGAAGACGCCGTCAGTACCAGGAAGTGCAGGCGATGAGGAAGCGCACGTCGTCCAGCGGCCCCCACGGGCTGGGCTCGGGCTCGGGATGGGGCTGAGGCCGGGGCTGTTCCGGGCCCTCCGGCGCCGCAGGCTGGGGCTGGGGCTGGGGCTGGGGCTGCGCAGGCTCCGGGGCGCCGCGGCCGCCGCTTAGCTGAGCCCCCATGGTCTGCAAGAAAAGCCCTTTAGGTCTGGGTCGCCGGCACCCCCCCCGCTAGGGCCTCGCCCCAGCCCTGCCCTCACCTCGCACAGCCACACCCGCTGGTCTCCCGGAACCCACCTCAGCGTCGGGAGGAGCTGGCGCCGTGACGCCACCGCCCGCCGACCTCGCCCTCAGTGCGTTTGAGCGCAAAAGAGGGACTCGACCCCGGGCTCCGGGGCGGGACTCCGCGAACGTCCCCGGCCAATCCCGCCCTAGCGCCTCTAGGCCCCGCCCCGCGCGGGGGGACGGACTGCGCCCCAGAAGCCTCCAAGGCGCCCAGGCCGGGAGGACGCTGGGAACCCGCTGCCCCGCCCCAGGCCCACCCAGGCAAGGACCTGCAACCTCCATCCACTTTAGTCAAAGACTGCCCTGAAGCCAGATGCCCCAGAGCTCTTACGGGGCCCTCACCTGGCTCAGGGGAAAATCGGAACAGACTTTCAAGGCCAGAGAAGATGGGGCAGAAGTCGGGTGAAAATTGTGAGAACTAGATCGGACGCGGTGGCTCATGCCTGTAATCCCAACACTTTGGGAGGCCGAGGCGGTGGGTCACTTTGAGCTCAGGAGTATCAGACCAGCCTGGGCAACATAGTGAGACTTCGTTTCTACAAAAAAACAAAAACAAAACAAAACAAACAAAAAAACCAAAAACAAAAAACAAGGCGGGAGGATCGCTTGAGCCATCATTGCATCACAACACTCCTGCCTGAATGACAGGCAGAGACTGCCTCAAAAAGAAAAAAGGAGAACTGTAGTGGACAGAGTTTCTTGCCCCAGGATGAAGCCTCCCATCCTGATGATGGTGGAGAAGGGAATGGTGTGTGTGGAGGTAGTGAACTAGATTGGGTGTGTGTTGTGTCCATCCCACCCTATCTTCCCAGAATGCTGGAACAACTGGAGAGTGTGGGGATTGTACACAGGCTGAGGGCCCCAAACATCACATTCAGAATGGCCTGGAGGGAACTGAACTTTAATGGGGTGGCACAGGACAGCAGAACCCTCAGCCAGCAGCCACAGGGCCTGCCAGCCAGCACAACAGAGCAGGTTTCTGCAGTAATGATAGATCCAGGAGATAAGCACAGGTGGAAAAGGGTTGGGTGCCCAGCCACTCAGTCCCAGTGAGCTCTCTGCCACCTCCCTGCCAGCATCCGGTGCAGATTGGGCGGAGTGCAAAGAAGGTGCCATAGTCCACAGCCAGGAGCCCATGGAACAACTTGGAAGGTGACTCAGGTGAGGCTGAAGAGAAAGGAAAGCTCACGGTCAGTAGCTGTTTCACAGAACCCACCTCACTCTCAAGGTGCCTGCCTCAGCCCTCACCCCCAGACCAGCTCTGAAAAGCTGCTCAAGCAGCTACTGGTCTAGTATCCTAGCCCTGAAAAGCCACAAAGACGAGGATTAGCAGTTGCTCAATAAATATGTTTTGAGTATCATGGTGAATTGAAAAAAAAAAATGTGCTGGCTCTATCTACTCAGCAGTGTGCAGATATGCTCTCACACTCGAGAAGCTATCAGAACAAACTGGTAGGCTCTCATTCTAGATGACATCTTTTCCCCATACTCTAAAAATGCAAGTTAACCCCCAACCCTGAGCAGAAGGAAGGAGAGACCCCAGGTACCTATCAATGAGGGAATCCCGCATGCTGGTGGCAATGGTGCTAGGCTGGGCTTCATTCAGCTTGAAGACACTCTCCACCACTGACAGCTCTGTGCTGGTTGTGTCCAGGCCACAGAAGGCACACCAGTCATTCACCACCATCCCAGCAGCAATCACCTCACTGCCTCGGTTCACAGTCCCCGCCTGCCAAGGGATGGGCTCAATGTGAGTCACGGCACCAAAGTCTCTCCCTCCTCAATGAGGACTCTCCCCATACCCTGCTCCTCCCTGACCTGCAGCCCCAGTCTCAAACTGCAGCAGGATGACCCAGACTCCCAAACACTGGGCGAAAGGATCTGCCTCAGCAGGAGGCGGGGTTCAGAGGACAGGAATGCTTACCACAAGGGGGACCTGAAGAAGAGAGGACAGCTCATCCTGGTCTTCGATTGAAGTCTTGGGATGCACCAGCCCTCCCTGATTGCTGAAGACACAGTAACTTCCTACTAGCACCTGGTCGGCCACTGTCTGTCTGAAGACTTCCACCTTGAGCACATCTGCCAGAATTTCTTCTGTCTCCTATCAGTCAAAGGTATTGTGTTCAGGGCCCACTTACAGCCCCAGAACCAGGGTTCTCCATGCCCAGCAGCACCCGGGCCTTGGCTCCCTGAGCCCCTTATTTCTCCTATGTACCGCATATGAAAGCCTCACCCAGAGAAAGGAGGAAGTACAGCTTAGAGCAGAGTCAAAGCCAGCTGTGAAGCCCCTAAAATTCATGCATGCCCTCAACAGCTGGAGGCTGGTCTCGATGTCACTATTTTCCCCTCTCACCCACACTCAGAAGTTCAACAGTCGATCACCTATCCTGGCCCAGGCTACAGGACTGAATGGTTCAATCCTGAAGGATTCATACCCTCCCCAGCTTCTTTCTGACACTTGGTAAGGCCTCTGTTATCACTATTCCAATGAATACCTGAAACTCAAGGGCCCATACAGAAAAACCACAGGAGAGACCCCTAATTCTTGCCTGTTAGGAAAGAACAGTGGCTAACCACTGACAGGGATGGCCCTGTGACTCTTGGGGCAAGTTGGGCTGCCTCACCCTGTCCAAGTCTGGGTGGACCAAGGCCACGTAGTCATTGCAGGTGGTGACATTGCCCAAGGCTGAGAGCCGCTCCTCCACCCGCCGAATTTGCACTGTGTCTGGGAGGCTGTTGCGAATGTGTTGCAGCTCCTGGTCAGTGGTATTGTTGGGCACCAGGAGACCGTGCCTGTTCCCTGGAGAAACCCAAATTAGAGGGTGAGACAAAGGTGAACCATGAATACACAAGATGCCTGCTGAGCCCTAGCGGCTGAGGATACCACCCAGCCCAGCCCAATCAGCTTTCCCAGGAAAGCTTTAGGCCCAGAGCCCAGCCCTCCAACCCAATGATCTGGACAACACCCAGGGCAGGCCAGAGACCACCCAGGAATCTCAATAAATCCCGCCTACTTCACCATCATCAACTGGAGGGGAGTTGAACTAACAGGAAGAGCTCCTGGCATTACTTGTATATTTTGCTACTTAAAAACTGAGCTAATGCTACACACATAGCAGAATGGCTAGATTATTATTATTTTTTTGAGACAGTCTCACTCTGTCACCCAGGCTGGATACAGTGGTGCGATCTCGGCTCACTGCAACTTCCGCATCCTGGGTTCAGGTGATTCTCTTGTTTCAGCCTCCTGAATAGTTGGAATTACAAGTGCATGCCACCACACCTGGCTAATTTTTTGTGTTTTTGTAGAGACGAGGTTTCACTATGTTAGCCAGGCTGGTCTCAAACTCCTACCCTCAGGTGATCCGCCCACCTCGACCTCCCAAAGTGCTAGGATTACAGATGTGAGCCACCGCCCCCAACCAGAATGACTAAAATTTTTACAAGTCATCAATTCCAAGTGTTGGCAAAGATATATGGAGCAACTGAACACTCATACTGAGACAGGAGTGTAAGCTGGTCAACCACTTCAGATAATTATCTGGCATCACCTGCAACTACTACTAGTCACATAACCTGTGACTCTGCCATGCCACTTAATATACCCAGTAGAAATATGTAGATGCGTTCACTGAAAAAACATAGCAGCCCTTTTTTTTTTTTTTTTTTTTTGAGATGGAATCTCGCTCTGCACCCAGGCTGGAGTGCAGTGGCGCGATCTTGGCTCACTGCAAGTTCTGCCTCCCAGGTTCACGTCATTCTCCTGCCTCAGCCTCCTGAGTAGCTAGGACTACAGGCACCCGCCACCACACCCGGCTAATTTTTTTGTATTTTTAGTAGAGACAGGGTTTCACTGTGTTAGCCAGGATAGTCTCAATCTCCTGACCTCATGATCCGCTGGCCTTGGCCTCCCAAAGTGTTGGGATTACAGGCGTGAGCCACCGCGCCCGGCCATTAGCACTATTCCTAATAGACCAAAGTGAAAACTGCCCAAATGCACTGTCAATGGAATGGATGAATACGCTGTGATATACTTACACAAAACACACCACACAGCAACAAGAATGAACAATCTACAAATACACACCAATGAATTTCTGAATTTCAGGTCACTCCCATCATAAAATACACAAGGACTAAGCTAAAATCTCCCTTGTTGTCAGAACTTGCTTCAAGTCCTAAGGGCATGGTTAGAGATCAGAGTACTTTAACTGAATAGGAAAAAACAGGAAAATACTTTGAGGTCACTAGGCTTAAATTTTTTTGGTTTATTTTATTTTATTTTTTTTTGAGACAGAGTTTCGCTCGTATTGCCCAGGCTGAAATGCAATGGCACAATCTCGGCTCACCACAACCTGCACCTCCCGAGTTCAAGCAATTCTCCCGCCTCAGCCTCCCAAGTAGCTAGGATTACAGGTATGCACCACCACACCCAGCTATTTTTTGTATTTTTAGTAGAGATGGGGTTTCTCCATGTTGGTCAGGTTGGTCTCAAACTGCTGACCTCAGGTGATCCGCCCACCTCGACCTCCCAAACGGCCTTAAGATTTTTAAAAATTAAAGTAAAAGTAAAAAAAAAAAATAAACAGACTTCTAAAAGTGACCTCAATGAGCAGAATTAAGAAACAACAGGCAGCAGTAATGGAAGATCTGATCCAGCTTAAAGAAAGGACCAGCTGGGCGCGGTGGCGCATGCCTGTAATCTCAGCACTTTGGGAGGCCGAGGTGGGAGGATCACCTGAGGTCAGGAGTTCAAGATCAGCCTGGCCAACATGGTGAAACTCTCTCTCTACTAAAAACACAAAAAAATTAGCCAGGTGTGGTGGGGTGCGCCTGTAATCCCAGTTACTTAGGAGGCTGAGGCAGGAGAACCACTTGAACGGAGTGTTGCAGTGAGCCAAGATCATGCCATTGCACTCCAGCCCAGGCAACAAGAGTGAAAACCCCATCTCAAAAAAATAATAATAAAAAGAGAGGACCAACGACCAGAATTAACAGTGCTGACAGGTAGGAAGGTAGGGTAGAGATGTGGTAAAGGGAATTTAAGATTTCAACAAAACTGAGCAGGATGACCGCAAATCTTAGCTAATCTTTAGAGAGACAGAAATGAATGCTTACAAAGAGAAAGCACCTTGCTCACAGTCAGTGACAGGGAGAGATGAGATACAAATCCTCGGCTGGGTACAGTGGCTCTCGCCTGTAATCCCTACACTTTAAGAGACCAAGGTAAGAAGATCACTTGAGCCCAGGTGGTCAAGGCCAGACTGGGCAACACAGGGAGGCCACGTCTCTACTAAAAATCTAAAAAATTAGCCAGGTGTGCCAGCACGTGCCTGTGGCCCTAGCTACTTGGTAGGCTGAGTTGGGAGGATCACTTGAGCCTAGATCTTGCCACTGCACTCCAGCCTGGGCGAAAGAGCAAAAATCTTGTCTCAAAAAAAAAAAAAAAAAAGATAAAAATCCTCCTCCACACTAAGAACTAGGTGTGGAATTTAGTGAGTCACTTAGGACAAGTCTCAGCTTCCTCATCAGTCAAGCTAGGCCAGTAATTCCTACTTTTCAGTGTCTTTGTGAAGAAGGAATGAGAACAGGAGTGAAAGCACTTTACGCTGTTATTACTATTATCCAGCAGCCTTTGCTAGAAGGTTGCCCCCCATCTCTTGACACTTGGCCTGAGAGATTCTACAGTGCCCAGAGATAATAGAGAATACCCTGGGAATCCCTAGGTCACTCCGAGTTCCCTCCGGGGGTGTAATTAATGGTGCTTGGAGACCACTCCCTCCCTTGGCGTCCTCCGCCTGCCTTACCCACACACATGCGCCCGATGATGCGGCAGCCGGCGATAGACGCGTGCACCACGGGGATGGTATCGGAGAGCTCGCCCTCGAACACACTGTAGGGACATGGACTCGGTGGTCGCGGGACAGAGGGGCCGGCACCCTCACCCTGCCGGAGCTCTTGACTCCTGCGCACCCTTCCCCGCCACCGCGAGCCCTGGGGCTCCCGCCGCACCTGTAAAAGTTCTCTGAACCTCCAATCGCCACCAGACAGTAGGTGTTGGTGAGCTTGGCAAAGCAGCCGATCTCACAGTTGTTCTCGAAAGACGCTCGGACCGCCATGAGGCCTAGGGGCGGCGGAGCCGGGAGTTCAAGGCCAGCGGATCGTTTCCCAAGTATCCCGGCCTCCGCCCCTCAGGCCCCGCCGCGACCCCGCCCCTCTCGGCCTCCCGGCCCGTCCGCCCTCGGGTCCTGCCCACTGGGCCCCCACCAGACCCTCCGGCCCTGAATCCTCCGGCCCCACCCCTCCCGACCCAGGACCGGAGCTGACCCTCCCAGACTCCCTCACACCAGCTCACCAACTATCCACAAGCTCCGCACGCGGCGACTGTACCTTGGACTCCCTAAAAAGGTTTCAGTTTCCACTTCCGCCCAGGGAGACTTCCGGGAGAGCCTGGCACGCCCCGCCACGCATCCAGCCCCTCTACCTTCGGCCTCCGGGGGACTCTATGGTCGCGAGAAGTCTGGGCGCGACCCCGCCTGGCCCCACCCCCGGCCTGCTCGCGCTCATTCATTCATTATTCATTCAGAAGCTTTTTAGGAGCTGTCATCGACCTAGACCTCTGGCTGGTCGGATGTGAGGCATGAGGGAGAGGAGGGGCCAGGAGTGTCTCGCAGAAGAAGGGTTGATGATGGAGGTATTGATCGAAATGAAGCCGGAGGAAGGGCAGGTTTGGGGAAAGTGATGAGTCCAGCTATGCCTTGAGGGACAGAAGTCCGTGTCTGGAATCCAGCAGGGGAGTGGAGAGCTGAGGAAAGAGATGAGGGGCTGAAGACTAGAAGAGACTACACATGGAGAGAGTTCCAGGAGGGAGAAGTGCGGCCAGACCGAGGCTGGAGAAGGAGGCGCAGCCAAAGAGGGAAAGGCCACCAAGCTGCAGGTACTGGAGAGAGGGGAGGACTGAGGAAGAAGGGGCTCAGGAAAAGGCTGGAAAGGGGTCCAGGGTGGGCAAGGATGTAGATGCTGGTTGGCTTCCACGATGTGCCTCTCGCATGGGCTCTGTCACTCACTCAACAGCCAACTTCTGTCCCCGGGATAGTGATGGGGGCCAAGGGCCCTGCTGCACACTTGGACAGGATGAGCTTGGCCCATATTTTGTAGAATCTGCAAAAGCCCTAGGTTCTCTCAAAATGTCACAGTGGTAGCTTGGAGCCCCTGGACTCCCCCAATTCCTCCTTAGGCATTCACCCTCCTCCAGGGGGCTCCCCATAATTGGCCTGAATGGTGCCCTTCCCATTCCCCTAACGTGCCCCTCCCATAACTCCTCAAAGTTCAGGATACACCAGGCACTGTGGGTTGTAATAAAGTCTGCCTTTATTGATGTGTATCATGTTTACTGTCCCGGGCAAGTGGTGAGTTCAGGAAAATGGCCCACAACCTGTCACAGCCTGTACTTCAAGAGACACTCAGCAAGATGATGACGATGATGATGATGATGATGATGATGATGATGATGGTGTGTGTGGGGGGGGTTGTGTATCGACATACACTGCTCCTCCTCCCTCATTCACGTCAGATCCACTCAGTCCTCTCTAGGGTGTCTCTTCACCTGATTCCCTCTACCAAAATTTTTTCTAACTCTCTCCTCCCTCTGTCCAAAAGCTCCCCATCCTTCAAGGCCTGGCTCAAAGACCACCTCCGTCTCCTCTAAGAAACTTTTCTGACTACTCCACCTTCTCCATGACTCTCTGCCCTTTGTTTTCTAACACCCTCTGTCACTGGTTAACCTTTAACTTGTTATGGCTCTGACCCCTTCTCCAGCAGCTTGTGCATTTCATCTCTGTCCCCAGGTCTGAGTCGACCCACCTGTCAGCTCTATGGTATGCCCAGCACAGGGCTGGAAACACAGCCTAGATTCAAGAATATACTGGTCTGTGTGTGTGTGTGTGTGTGTGTGTGTGTGTGTGTGTGTGTGTACACAAGAATCTTGAGCCCAGAGAGTGCGTCTGACCTGGGCTTCTAGACACCTCCCTTCCCCAGTCTGGGACCTGAGCAAGTCCAGAGTCTCGGTGGACAGAGGAGGGGCCTGCCCTTGCCAGTGCACCCCCACGCCAGTCCTTTGGCTAGGACTCAAAGCGGCTTCGGAGCTGCTTGAACTTGGACTTGTTGTACTTAGTGATGAGGTCCAGTTTGCTGTGACCCAGGGTCAGCCGTTTCTCATCCCTGACCAGGTCACTGTTACCACCGTTGAGATGGCCACCCTTGGGAGCCCCAGGCTCGGGTGCCTGCCTGGCACCTTGCAACTGATGATACTTGGTGATGAGGTCCAGCTTGCTGTGGCCCAGGGTTAGCCGTTTCTCATCCCCAGACCCCACTCCAGTCGTGCGAGCAGGGCTTGGTATTGGAAGACCATTAGGCCCAGGCCCCTCACCCCGGAATGGGCCGAACTTTGTGATGAGGTCCAGCTGGCTGTGTCCCAGGGTCTGCCGCCGCTCATCTGGACCCTGTCTGGCAGGTCTGACTGAGGAGTTGGTTTCAAGGGGCACTCTGGAGCCCTGGGCCTTGGGGTACTGCACCAGGAGGTCTGATTGGCCATGGCTATGGTTTAGGGACATCCTCCTGTCCTCCAGGGCCCGATCAGCAGGTCTGAGGGAACCTGACTCAGGGGCACCCCCAGTACCCAGGGCTCGGGACAGAAGATCCAGCTGGCTGTTGGCCTGGCTTGGGGACAACCTCCTGTCCTCTGGGGCCTGCTCGCCAGCCCGAAGGGGGCTTGAGTTGGGGGTAACCCCAGAGTCAGGGTCTCTCACTTCTCGGGCTCTGGGGAAGGGGACAAGGAGATCCAGCTGGCCACGGATCTGACTTGGAGATGCCTTCTTCTCCTTCTCCTCCACTGTCTCCAGGGCTGTGCCAGGTACCCATCGACCCCGCAGGGGGCTGGGCTCTTGGCTTCCTGGGAGCCCATTCTCTGGGAACCGGGACATAGCTGGGACACCCCAATGGAACTGGAGGAGGGGCCGGGAGCGAGGAAGCAGAGGGGACCCCACTGCCAAGGTCAAGGGGCTGGCACTATTATGGTTGAGGGCAGGGGAGGACTGGGACCACGGGTATGATCCTAGCTTGCCCAGGTTGGCCCTATAGAGCCCAGGAGGGGAGCCATGGTTAGGGTCTGACAGTTGGCGATGCAGGGAGGGCTGGCCATGGGCCTCATGGCGGGCGGGACCCAGAGACGAGGACCCCATGCCCATGTCACTGCAATCACCACCTCCTGGTAGAGCGAGGCAGGAGGAGAGACCCGTAAGTGGTGACCGCTTGATGCTACTGAGGCTGGTGCTGGAGGGCGGGGACGATGTGGGGCTTGGGATGCCAGGCCTGAAGGCTAGGGCCACGGGGGGAGGACGCAGTGCCCGGGGAGACAGTGGGTCCTCACCGCTGCAGAAGCCTTCCACAGGCCGCGACTCGGCGTACAGGCAGCGGAACTCCCGGTCAAAGTCTTCCACGATGCGGCCCCTGAGCTGCAGCACCATGCTAGTGTGGGCCTGGTTGCAAAGCCAGGTGAAGCTGGGGGCAGAGGGACAGGGGGGTCAGGAGGCAAAGTGCAGGACCCTGGGTGTTGGCAGGAGTCACAGCCAGAGGTGCATACCTGGTCCAGCATGCTGGACCCAAACCCCACCACCACGAGGGCTCACAGCAAGGGGCAGAGCTCTGACTCCAGAGTCTGTGCTTGCCCTAGCCCTGCTTAGTGGGCCTGGGCACATGGCTGCCCTCAGGGCCCTAACTTCCCCATCTGTAAAATGGACTTGTGGGAGGTTCCCTGAAGTCACTCCAGTTCCAATGTGCAATAGTCATTTTCTATGCCAAGGGTATTAAAGTCATCATTCCCCTAGAGTGAGCTCCTCCAGGGCCGACCTGCCCCCAACACCCTCCCCTGAGCCTGGCATGATGCCTGGCACATGGCAGGTGCTCAGTCTGTGTCCGAAGGGATGGACGAGTGGAGGGAAGCTCAGAGCTGCCAGCCAGTGGTGCAGTCCCAGGCCCCTCTCGCCTCCTCGCGCCTGCTCACCTGTAGCTGCCTGCCACCACCTGCTCACAGTCGATGAGGACGAACTTCTCCAGGGCCTGCCCCGTGAAGCGGCGGCCAGCCTTGCTGCAATATGTGTCCCCACACATGCTCCGCACACGCATGTTCTAGGTGTAAGTAGGTTGGGGGTGACCTTGAGAGAGTGAGGCTCAAGCCATGCCTCTGCCCCATGGGGTCTCCAACCCCAGACAGCTAAGGGAACCTACCCCCAACTCCCACTGCCCCCCCAGTGCTGAGTGGCCACCCACTGGCTCCCCCGCCCTCCCTGACTCCCCATCCGCACCCCTGGTTACTGCCCCTGGTCCTCACTGACCGGCAGGTGCCCCCCATTGAGGTCCATCTTGTAACACATCTCCAGGAAGTGCCTCAGGTGCTCCTGGGCCAGGAGCAGGTACACAGGGACACCACGCCGGCTCGAGGCCTCCATGAGGTCACACAGAAGCTCCATGTCAGTGAATATGTCCATCACCACAGCCACTACCTGGGCAGGGGGAGGTGCATGAAAGCTCAGCGCTGCCCAGGGCACTCCCCACATCCAGCCAAGCCTGGGGCAGGAACCCGGGCCCCGGGAAAAGAGCACTGGACTGAAAATCAGGAGGCCAGAGCCTTCAAGAGAAAGTGAACAGGAAGGGCTCTTAGCAGTGACCTAGCCCAGGGCTTCTTAACTTGGGCACAGGGAGATTTGACTGTCTTCTTTTTTTTAAGAGTCAGTGTCTGTCTCACTCTGTCACCCAGGCTGGAGTGCAGTGGCATGATCATAGCTCTCTTCTGCCTAGAACTCCCAGGCTCAAGCAATCCTCCCAACTCAGCCTCCCAAGTAGCTGATATTATAGGCATGTGCCACTATGCCTGGCTATTTTTTTTTTTTTTTTTTGAGACAGCATCTCACTGTTGCCCAGGCTTGAGTGCAGTAGTGCAATCTTGGCTCACTGCAACCTCTGCCTTCTGGGTTCAAGTGATTCTCATGCCTTAGCCTCTCAAGTAGCTGGAATTTCAGGCACTTGCCACCATGCCCAGCTAATTTTCTGTATTTTTAGTAGAGACAGGGTTTCACCATGTTGGCCAGGCTGGTCTCGAACTCCTGACCTCAGGTGATCTGCCCGCCTCAGCCTCCCAAAGTGCTGTAATTACAGGCATGAGCCACTGTGCCTGTCCCTGGATAATTTTTTTTTTTCCTTTGAGACGGAGTCTCGCACTGTTACCTGTGCAGTGGCACAATCTCGGCTCCTGGGTTCAAGTGATTCTCCTGCCTCAGCCTTCCAAGTAGCTGGGATTACAGGTGCCTGCCACCACGCCCAGCTAATTTTTTGTATTTTTAGTAGAGACGGGTTTTCATGATGTTGGCCAGGCTGATCTCAAACTCCTGATCTTGTGATCCGCCCGCCTCGGCCTCCCAAAGTGCTGGAATTACAGGCATGAGCCACCGCGCCTGGCCACTAATTTTTTTTTATTCTAATTTTTTGTAGAGATGTGGGTCTCACTATATTGCCCAAGCTAGTCTTGAACTCCTGGCCTCAAGCAGTCCTCCCACCTCAGCCTCCCAAAGCACTGGGATTACAGTAAAATCCCAGCTCAGATTTGACTGTCTTGAACCCCTAGCTGTTTGAAAGCATTTGTGTGCATCTTTAGGTTCACCAAGTGTTTATCTGTCATCAGATTCTCAAAGATGACTGTGGATCAACTGTGCTAGTCCAACACCTCCTCTGCACTGAGCCCCAGATGGGACAGCAGTGACAAGCAGAACCCAGGCCCCAATTCCCAGGCAAGTTCCTTGCACTCCCCCCACTAACTCCAGCCCAGCTCTGCCCCAGGGACTGTCTGTCTGAGGCTCCCTTCTCCAGGGTCAGAGCTACAAGCCACTTACTGGGGTCTTCACTGCCCTTTCCCAGCCCTGCCTCAGTTTCCCTGTGAAGCCACAGAGATCTGGTGTGACCCCTTACACTGCAGACTCCCTTATTTGCACCCATGCCAAATGGATCCAAGTTTTCCGCTCAGTTGAGGACTGGGCTGGGGCTTGTGCCTCCATCCCATATAAAGGGCTGCCTCTAAGAGGCCCCTGAAACCCTCCTGGCACCTCCCAGCCCCCAGCTGGCCTTTCTTCCCATGGCATATATCTGCTATGAGAATCTCTTCTCCCAGGCAGGGCCGAGAGGCAGGAGTTACAGAGCATAGCACTCCAGCTCTGGGGTCAGAAAGAACTGGGTTCAAACCTGGACTCTACCACTTCCTGGTGACACAGCTTTGGGTGAGTAGCTTCACCTCTGGAAACCTCAACTTCCTCAGCTGTTAAATGGAGTTATTGATAGCCATGTCTCAGAGCTACGGGGAATTAAATGTGAAAATGCTCAAGACATAACAGAGCTCTATAAACATTGGGCTGCAGGGCAACGCAGCATTTCCCAAGGTCACTAGGAGTCATGACAGCCCAGTACACGAGCCTGGCTCCTGGCCCAGGACAGAGGGGTCTAAATGGGGGCTGAGAAAGTGAGGCACTGGGGGATGCCCTAGTTCACAGCACAGGCCTCGCCAGAGTAGGGGGACAAGGACAGGCAGGAAAGATCAAAGAGGCAGGGGTGAGGATGACGACAGCAGCAGCCTCACTAATAACCCCATTCCCGATGCCAATCAGGCCTGGCCGTCCCCTGCCTGGGGCACAGGCAGGCTTGCCAGGAAGCTCTGGAAGTACCGGTGGGATCCCAGTATCCTGGCTTCCCATCTCTGCAGCAGGAACCTAACTCTACCTCAAACCCAGCCAGGGGTCATCTTGTCCATTCCCCTAGAGTAGGAGGCCAAGGCTTCAGAAGTGAAGCTGTGCTTGTGTGTGGCCAAAGCCTTTCTGGGTGCTGACCACCCCCACCTGCCCTCCCAATTCTCTTTCTCCTGAGTTCCTGCTCCCCATCACTGAGCCCAGCATCCTCCTCTCCTCTTTCCTCCTTGGTTCCAAAGCCCAGCCCTCGAGGACATGCCAAAGAGGCCCACACGCTGGCCACCTCCCCTGCTTCAGGCCCAGCTGCAGATGTGGTGCAGGAGGGTGGGGGGCAACTGGGGACCTGAGCCAGCAAGGACGGCTGGACTGCTCCCCAGGACCTAAGTCAGAGAGCCCCTGTCTCCCCGAGCCCTGAACTCTATGTCACCATATGGACCTCCCTGGGCAAGTCCCAAGCCCCTCTCTGGTCTCAGTTTCTTCTTCTGTAAGTTAAGGAAGTGACTCAGCTGTTCCCCAAGGTTGGAGTTCTTAGTGTGGGGATCATAAAACTTTCTGAGAAACTGATAAGGCAGTGGAGCATCTTCCAAGGTAAAGATGCAGCGAGGACTCCTCCCTCCAACCTGCACCACTTGGTGTGCATTTCAGAAGGTTGTGGAGTCCCTGATGCCCATGCCCTGTTCTAGGCTCATCCATACTACTCCTGGGGACCAAGCATTGCCAAGGTAAATATGGGATGCCCCCCTTCTAGGAGTTTGCGATCTAATAGTGCCAGAGGTGCTGGTCCTCATTCTGCCCCTAAGTCACTGCGTCGCCTTGGCTGGTCCCTTCCCTCTCTGGGCCTCAGTTTCCTCCTCTGTGAGCTGAGCGATGGAGAGATGAGGCCCTTACCGTGCGGGCCTGGCTGAAGAGGAAGCGCAGCAAGTCCTTGATGTTCTTGGCCTTGTCCCTCTGGAAGTGGACCACGGCCTGGGTGGGGCTGAAGCCCGTGGCCTGTGGCACCTCGGGCCAGCCCAGGTCCAGGTCCGGGGGGTCTATGTCAGAGGCCATGGGGAAGTAAGTGCCTGAGGTGACTTCGGAGAGCAGACTGAGGCGGTCTGGCCCCGAGGCCTCCTGCCCCTGGGCCTCGCTGAGGTCAGGGCCCCCGCGCACATGGCTGGTCATGTAGTCCACATCCAGGGCGCTCAGGAAGGGCAGCTCCCGCTCCTCGGAGATGACCCGCAGGTAGGCAGCCTCACCCCGCTCCAGGAGGGCGTCGGCCGCCAGCCGGGCCGCCTCGCTGTGCCGCAGCACCAGCGGTGAGCTCTCCCGCCACCACGGCCGCTTCAGCTCCTCCACCCGGCCCCGCAGGGGTCCCGCCATGCCCTGGGCTCCCAGGCTCCCAGGCCCTGGGCTTCCGAACATGCCTGCCCAGCGGCTGCCTCACCCGCCAGCAGGGCCCATGGCCCGCACGCTGGGCTGGCTGCAGCAGGAAGAGGAGACCGGCAGAACCACCTCCTGCCCGCCCGCTCGCTGTGTGTGTGGCGGGCCCCCAAACTGTTGCCACCCTAAATCAGAGCCACGCTCCGCCCTATTGCCCCTGGCCTCTGGAACCTGTCAGGCCAGCCCCACCTGTCTGCCTGTGTTGGGACTCGCCTGCCCGGGGAAGCGGCAGTGCCAGGCTCTCGGTGCACACTCCTGCCTCCCTCTATTCCTCCCCAGCAACGCGGCCCCATCCCTACCAGGCTCCGAGCATGTCTCCAAATGCTGACTTCCTGGGACCCACAGAGGTTGAATTATAGCCAAGAGGGGCCCAGGCGGCTCAGGAACACACATGCACACGCACACACACTACAGGTGGGTGAGCCACTCAAGACACCCAGGAAAAGACATGAACACACACGCAGACGGACACACTGACAACTGACCGATACAGATACGGAGTGTGGGCTGACACAGGCCGACCACACACTTTAATCACATCGACTTGCATAAACTCACCCAAACGCCGATTTACAGACTGGCCATGGCCCCCCACAACACATACCATAGTGGATAGCACATGCCTTGGCTCAAGTCTGCAAGGCCCTAAATGAGAGCTGAACAAGCATCACATGGAATATCCAAGGACATCAATGCCTGTCTGTTCCCCAGCCAGTCCTCTTTTTGCCCCCATAATTGTCCTGCCACTCTCCACCATCTTAACTGTGGTGCTCACAGCCCCCTGGCTCTCTCCCACCCCCACTCAGAGCTGTCATTCAAGAACCTAAGGCAGTGGCTCTCACCCTGACCCCAGGGCTGGTGAGAGGTGATGAAATGCAGACCCCCGGGCCCCACCCTCCTGGAGATTCTCATCCAGAAGGTGTCCATAGGCTTCTGGAGATTGTCTTTTTTCTTTTTTCTTTTTCTTTTTGAGATAGGGTCTTGCTCTGTCACCCAGGCTGGAGTGCAGTGGCGCAATCACAGCTCACTACAGCTGTGCCTCAGTTTCTCTGGGCTCAAGTGATCTTCCCACCTCAGCCTCCTGAGTAGCTGGGATTACAGGTGCATGTTACCATGCTCAGCTAATTTTTGAATTTTTTTAAGAGATGGGATCTCACTATGTTGTCCAGGCTGATCTTGAACTCCTGGCCTCAAGCAATCTTCCTGTCTCAGCCTCCCAAAGTGCTGGGATTATAGGTGTAAGCCACCACACCTGGTCATTTTTCTTTTTCAATTGAGACGTGATCTTGCTCTGTCACCCAGGCTAGAGAGAGCAGTGGTGTGATCATAGCTTACTGTAACCTTGAATTCCTGGGTCTTTTAACAAGTGCCCAGTGCACTGTGGGCAGTGGGCTAAGGCCCACCCCTCAGACATGCTGTTCCAGATGGCTGTGCTTGCAACACCCTTAACTCCAGGGATGTTCTTGGCCTGGTGGTGGCCAGACCCCAGCCTTCCTCCCTTCCTCCAGAGCTGAGTATGAAAATGGTTGAAACGTTGTTTCAGAGAATGGGTGAACACACTGCAAGGTCAGTAGGCAAACAGGGCAGGCAGATTTCTGACCTCTGCCCCAGCAAAGACTGAAGTCCCGGAGCATGCACTGTGTGTCCTTCGGAGGACGCTGAGCAGCTTTGCTCTGGGGAACGGGGTGAGCAGGTGGCAGCTGCAGTTGGGGAGCCAGGCTAGGAAGAAGCAGTCACCACCTTTCCACAGAGGCGTGAGGTCCAGCGAGGACGGCAGGAAGTGCAGAAGAGCTAAAGCCGTGTCTCGCAGCCCTGTTTAGCACTGAGCGCACTTGGTTCGTCTGGTCTGCGATCATGTCCGGAACACAGGGTCTTCTGTGTCCAAAGAAGTTGACACACGTATAGTGGGAGGGAGCTGGGTGGGATTTAGAGGTTCCCGAGTTGAACTGAGCCCTAGGACCAAAGATGAATGGGGCTAGGGCTGTGTCTTCGAGGACCCTATAAGTGAAGGACCTGGGGGAGCATGGGGGAGCCACAGGTCAGGAGTTATGACCCACACTATCCCATCCCAGGTGCAGGAGCACCTGGCACTCCAAGGAGGCCCTTCCCAGGGGGTGAGGAGGCTGCAAGAGGGGCAGAAGGTTGAGTAAACAAAGCCAGACCGTGGGAGGGTAATGAGTTGTGGGGGTATCCGAGGTGGCAGGGCCATCATTAGGGCCTTATCTCCAGGCCCTTGTTTGAAGGGGAGGATCAACCAGGGTCTTATCTGGGTGGGAGAAGTGCTCCCGGGAGGGAGGGAGGCAAGTTTGCATGTCACTGAGTTAGTTGTGTTTATCCTGCAGTGTTTATACATATACTTCAGGTACATATCTTTGGCTCTGTATCTTTTAATTGTGGTAAAATACACATAACATTTGCCTTTAAAAAAGAATTCATGGCTGGACGCGGTGGCTCATGCCTATAATCCCAGCAGTTTGGGAGGCTGAGGTGGGCGGATCAGCTGAAGTTGGGAGTTCAAGACCAGCCTGACCAACATGGTGAAACCCCATGTCTAATAAAAATACAAAAATTAGGTGGGTGTGGTGGCAGGCGCCCATAATCCCAGCTACTTGGGAGGCTGAGGCAGGAGAATCGCTTGAACCCAGGAGGCAGAGGTAGAGGTGAGCCAAGATTACGCCACTGCACTCCAGCCTCAAGTGATGCTCTTGCCTCTGCCTCCCAAAGTGTTGAGATTACAGGTGTGAGCCACTGCACGAAGCCAAAATCTGCTATTGTAACCATTTTTAAGTGGTACACTTCAAGTGTCATAAGTCCATTCACACTATGGTGTAACCCTCGCCACCATCCATCTCTAGAATTCTTTTCACTTTGCAAAACTAGAGCTCTGTACCCACTAAACGTGAACTCCCCATTTCTCCCTCCCCTACCCCCCGGCGCCCACTATTCTGTTTCCTGTCTCTATGAATTTGACTCCTCTAGATACCTCATTTAAGTGGAATCATACGGTTTTGTCCTTTTGTGACTGGCTCATTTCACGTCGCTTCACATCTTCGAGTTCCTCCACGTTGTAGTGTATGTCGGAATCTCCTTCCACTTCAGGCTGAATAATATCCCATTGCATGTGTGGAGCACATTTAGCTCATCCGTTCCTCCTCAGATGGATGCCTGAGTTGCTTCCACCTTTTGGCTGTTGTAAATAAGGCACAGGTGTACAAATTTGGCTCTGTATTTTTGTATACTTCCCCCCAGGCCCAGGTTTGTACTAAATTCCTTTTTTGTACATAAGAAACCACCGAATATTGGCAATTTCATATGGTTTGACTAAATATATACACCTGTACCTGTGCATAACTGTACCTGTGCTTGTATGTGTGTGCACGTCCTGTCTGTGATGTTTGTGTGCCTGTGTGGCGCAGCAGTGTGCGTGGACCTGTGTGTGAACGTGTGTCTGGGCGGCGGGATAGTCCTTGCGTCGGACTCTGCGTTGCGGTACAGGGGCTGTGGACAGAGAGCACAACGGAGAGGGGCAGGGGTGGGAAGACTTGGTTGAAGGGCAAAGGGTTCCAGTGGATCCCAGACATCATGATAATGCTTGTGTGCAAATCAAATCAAATCCCCCAGGGCTGAGGGACCAGCTGCCCCTCCGTAGGCAGCCCTCCCTGTGAGCTGAGTTGGTCAAGGGCAATGGGAGGGCAGACAGGTGGCTCCTGGCCTTGGGGCTGGGCCTAGAGGTGGTGGCCAAGGGTGATGGGAATCATCCAGACAGACCCAAGCCCTGTCCCTGGCTGCAGTATGTCAGGCGCAGGCCCCTTAATGACTATAATTAAGAGGAAGGAAACTGTTTTCCTGTACAGAAGGTGTGTCAGGCGCCTGCCTGGCATCACTCAGCTGTCCCAGGAGCCACTTAGCCTTGTCTGTTCTCTCTCACAAGCCAAGTGGTGTCTGGGCAGGCGATGTCGTGTGGGGTAGGGGGAGCAGAGGCTGGGTTGCAGCCCTCCAGGTGCAGGCTGCTCTGAGGCCAGTGCTGCCACATACCTTTCCTCTGGCGCCCCGGGTCAGGAGAGACAGAGTTTCCGCAGAGGAGCAGCTGGGACTGGTAGGGGAGCCAGAGTGCGCCCAAATCCCTTGAATCAAGGCAAAGCAACCTAAGAGCCAGAGATGCAAAAGCGGACAATGCTGAGGAGTCCCCGAGGCTGGCTTGAGCCAGGGAGCAAAGGGTGAGAAAGATTTCAGGGTGCAGACTGGTAAGTGGGGCGTTCCTGGCTGGAGGAAGAGGGCAAGGACATGCCCAGGGAAGGCAGGTGGGGGCTGTGGTACAGGGGAAGATGCTAATAGGAAGGTTACAGCCACACTAGGAAGAGCTTGAGGGCCTTCTAAGGTGCTGGGTTCTTACCTAGAGATGATGGTACAGAGGCTGGGAAGACTCCAGAGCAGCATCCTGGGATAACTCAGAAATAGCTCCAATGGCGAGAGTGGGCCAAAGCACCAGAAACAACCCGCATTGGTTGAACCCAGTGTGGTTCACTGTTCACTGAGTGCGACACAGGTCTCAGGAGGTCACCATTCCGAACTCTTATCTCATCCTGATACCCCATGGGCTATTGTGCCACTGGACTGAGTCAGACCCCGGAGAGGAACACAGGCTCTGCCACTTAATGGGGGAGCCGAACAATCAGAACTTCTCTGAGTCACAGTGGCTGACTCTACACGTAGAGCGGGACCCACGCCACCTCCTTCACAGGGTTATTGTGAGGAATATATGGGCTCAGCTACGCCAAGTGCCTGGCTGAGAGCAGCTGTGGTTGCTCAGTACACGCTGAAGTCCAGAGCTTTCCCAGTTGTGAAAGGACAGGGGCTCGATGAAGGCCTGAAAGCTCAGGAAGCCACCAGGGGAGCCCTCTTGGTCAGTCTCTGGCCCCTTCTAGACCAAAGGCTGGTGCCAAGGCCAACATGGTCCCAGCCGGGTCAGTGGGGTGTGGCCAGTCACTGCTGCCTCTGAGATCTGGCCTTTCGTCCCATCCCTGCTCACAGGAGGCGGGGTGTCTGTCTGTCTGTCTCCTGTGTTTTATTTCTCCATTTGTTCTGAAATTGGGAGAGGAAGAAAGAGATACATCTGCTGACTCCTGGAGCCCCGTTATTGAGGCAGCCTCCCCTTCCCACCCCCTCTCCCTCTGTCCAATCCTTCCAACATGGATTTAGTGTCCACCTTCAGCCAGCAGGTGACCCAAAGATGAGTAAGAGTTTGTCTCTGCCCTGGAGGAGCTCACAGTTCAGTGGGGAAGACAGACTCATAAATAATTATAAACCACGGATTAGGCTGAGGTATAAACCAAGCGCCTGGGGTTTAGAGCTTGGACCCATTGCGGAACCTCAGAGGAGCCATGGCCCCACCTCCCGCCCCTTCAAGCAAGGCACAGCGCAGTGGCAGGCCCTCTCCCAAAGGGAGGTGAATGCTGTTCCTGGCCACAGGGAAAGAAAAAAAGAGGAAGAGCACCCAGCCCAGGCCCGTGGGTGCTGGTTCCTGACTGAAACCTGCAGTGAGGCCTGGCAGGGCCTCAGCCTCCCCTGTCCAACGCGCTGGCTGGGCGGGAGGTCTCCAGGCACTTCTGGCGCTATCGCTGTAGTCCATCACTTGTTGATGCCATGGGGTGGTGCTTGGAGGTCCCTTCCTGGAAATTCTCCAGCCAGGGTCTCCAGGATCTTTTCTCCTTATTCTCCCCTCCACACGGAAAAGGGAAGTCAGTGGCCTGGTCAGGGTCTGGGTCCTAGGCTCACCAATATTGCTCCAGGGAAGTCCCCTGGAAGCCACAGAGAACCTGATGGGGGAGCGGGGAAGGCCGGGGTCAGGGGCCTGAGGTCTGGCCTCCCCCTCTCTAAGGCCAAGCCCCGTGGATAGGGTGGGTGAGGCATGGTGGGTGCAGTGGACAGACTAGAAGTGGGAACCAGGGCAATAGGTACAGGAGGGCTGCTCCCAGGGGAAGAGTTCAAGCACTCCTGCCAGCTCCACTTCCCTCCCACTCCACCCCCATGGCTGATAAACTCTAGATCGATACCACCTGGCATGAGCTCTCCTTTCCCTCTCAGCCCTCTCCTCAGAAACTCCTTTTCCCCCTATCTGTCCTCCCAATCACTGGTCTCAGGAAAGGATTCCTTCACCACCTCCAAAGCCAGGCCCTTGTTCTCAAGATCAGGCTTCCATTTCCAGAAGGATCTCATCGGAGTCCCTAAACTCATGGGAAGTTCCCTACTCCACTAAGTGCTTAGCTCATCAGAGTCCTCCCTGCCCCAAACACATCTTCAGCACGTTCCTGCAAATCCCCTCGTTTCACCCCCTCTTCTGCCTCCTCCCAGTTTCCCTCCCTTTCTTCTCAGCATGCTGCCCTGAGTTTCCTCCTAGAAGCTCTCCTCTTCCCTGGCTCCACAGTCTACCTTCTGCACTGGTGCCTGCTCTTCCTGCCATCTCCTGTGAGTGCTCCTTGCACTCCCAACCCAGTCTCAAGGTTGCCCTCATCTTCAGGGGCTCATCAACTTCAGGATTTCTTTCTTTCTTCCTATTTGCTTTTTTTTTTTTTTGAGATGGAGTCTCGCTCTGTCACCCAGGCTGGAGTGCAGTGACGCGATCTCGGCTCACTGCAAGCTCCGCCTCCCGGGTTCGCGCCATTCTCCTGCCTCAGCCTCTCCAGTAGCTGGGACTACAGGCGCCCACTACTGCGCCCAGCCAATTTTTTTTGTATCTTTTTTTAGTAGAGATGGGGTTTCACTGTGTTAGCCAGGATGGTCTCAATCTCCTGACCTGGTGATCCGCCCGCCTCAGCCTCCCAAAGTGCTGGGATTACAGGCGTGAGCCACCGCACCCGGCCTTCAACTTCAGGATTTCTAAACCCAAGACAAGGCCAACATCCTTCATCCCCGAGGTCAATCCTGAGGTTCACCAAGGTCCTTCCTGCCCCATGCCCTTGCCCTCCCTGGAGCATCTCTAGCATCTGAAGTCCATCTGCCACCAGACTGGCTCCCCACAGATGCAACCAAGGTGCACCAAAAGCAATGGAGTGGAACCCAGAAAAAGTGACTGTTCAGCTTTTGCTGCAGGGTCAGCTTGCACCAGCAAGCGGATTCTTCTCAGTGAGCCTATTTCCCTATTGCATCATGGATGCAGCAATCCCTGCCCTGCCTAGTTCAGAGAGTGCCATAATTTTCACTTGAAAAAACACAGCACATGGCGGGGCACGGTGGCTCACACCTGTAATCCCAGCACTTTGGGAGGCTGAGGTGGGCAGATCACCTGAGGTCAGGAGTTCGAGACCAGCCTGATCAACATGGCGAAACCCCGTCTTTACTAAAAATACAAAAAAATTTAGCAGGGCGTGGTGGTGGGTGCCTGTAATTCCAGCTACTCAGGAGGTTGAGGCAGGGAGGCGGAGGTTGGAGGTTGCAGTGAGCTGAGATCGCACCATTGCCCTCCAGCCTGGGCAACAGGAGCAAAACTCCATCTCAAAAAAGAAAAAAAGAAAAAAGAAAAGAAAAGACACAACACAGAGAGGATTCTTCTGCCAGAAGTCACCATCTCTGGGCCCCAGTGAGCTCCATGACTGCACCCTCTTCAGGCTCCACGTTATGCCTCAAGTCCTGGTGAGTTTTTTCTCGGAAGTGTCTCTGGGGTTTGAGCTTCCCTTTGAATTCCATTTGTCACCCCCAGCATCTCAAGCCCAGATGGCTAAACTCCCTTCCTGACAGAGCCAATCCATCCTGGTACCACTGTCTCTCCACTGCCATCATGCCCCAGTCTTTACCAAGAATGCACACAGTGGCTCCCTGCTGCCTGGCAGCTGATGTGTGATCTGTGCTACCCCTACTCATGGTCCCTCCTGACCTCTGCAACCCTTCCTTCCCTTAGCAGCTAACTCAACAGTCTGAAGAGCTTCCTGTTCTGTGCCTTCACCTGGACAGCTAGTCCTCAATTCCCGTTTTCCCACCTCCTTAAGCAGTGGACTGGGTCAGAGCCACTATACAGGGTACATCTGGGCATCTCCCTCCTGGAACACGAGCTTAAGAATCCTCACCTGCAAGGCGGCGAGTGAGGTGACAAGTGAAAATACCAAGCAAGCCTGGCACGGAGGAAAAACTCAAAAGATGCCGGCTGAAGTGCGGCCTGGGCTTCAACCGCAGTTTAAGATTCACCCCGTCTTGTATAGCATCGCTATTTCTCATCGGAAGAAGGAAAGGAAAGGAAAGGCAAGGGAAAGGAAAGGGAGAAGAGAAGAGAAGAGAAGAGAGGAGAAGAGATAACACAGAGAGGATTCTTCTTTTCTAAAGAGGATTCTTCTGCCAGACGTCGCCATCTCTGGGCCCCAGTGAGCTCCGTGACTGCACCCTCTTCAGGCTCCACCCTCTTCAGACCCCCACGGGGGTCTGTCGTGGGCTGGAACACTCTTGGCTATTTCTCATCGGAAGAAATAGCGATGATCTATTTTTTCAAATTTTTAGGTAAAACATAAATCTTAGTGGTACTGTTCACTACATTGTTCAATGCTTCTCATTTGAAAACCTCTATAATACAGTCTTCTTTGAAGAGTAAGATGTACGTTTCTTCTGATGAGTAAGTACACTTCCTTTTCTGTGACAATGGGAACTCTATAACCTTAGGGCTTTCCACTTTCCACCTTTGACCAGGAAGCTCAGAGCAAGACCTCATACTCAGTTGCAAATCTCCTGGCTGACCTGGGGGAGGGAGGCAGTGTGACATGAGGACAAAGCAGGGGCCCCGGGGTCTGTCGTGGGCTGGAGCACTCTTGGCCCCTTCGTACCCTCGATCACTCTCTCTAGGCCCCTCTTAAGCTTCAATTCCCTCACTTGTGTTAAAGGGATAATAAAAATGATGAGGATAACACCTGTTTTACCTGATTGTTGTGAGACAATGCATTTACAGTATTTTATAAAATTTTTAAAAAGTCATATGAAAGTTGCTCATTAGCAGTCCAGGTTTTCTAACATAATTATTTTCCCTCTTTTCCCTCCCAATACCTGGATCTGATCTTTTAAACTTTAAGGTTTTTTTTGTTTGTTTGTTTGTTTTTTGAGACAGGGTCTCACTCTGTCACCCAGGCTGGAGTGTGGTGGCACAATCTCAGCTCACTGCAACCCCCACCTCCCAGGCTCAGGTGATCCTCCTACCTCAGCCTCCTGAGTAGCTGGGACTACAGGCTCACGTCACCACACCCAGCTCATTTTTTGTAGAGACAAGGTCTCACTGTATTGCCCAGGCTGGTCTCGAACTCCTGGACTTAACCAATCTGCCCACTTCGGCCTCCCAAAGTATCAGGATTACAGGCATGAGCCGCTGCACCCAGCCTACAATTTTATTATAAACTATGTCTCTTAATTTGCTGTGATCTTTTCTGGAAGAACACAGAATACAAATATTAATAAATGACAAAATCATTCCTGAAGGCAAGAAATTGTGTCCTTCCCTTGTTTCGTACAATAATGATTTACATTAGAAAAACATTTAGCTATGGAAAGAACTTTCCATTTTGGTTCCTATGCTAAGACCAAAGGAAGTACTCAATATTGTTAAAATAAGTGGAACTGTATGGGTCACACTGAGAATGGTCCCGAAGGGGGCTTTTTGTTTTTTTTGTTGTTGTTGTTTTGAGACGGAGTCTTGCTCCGTTGCCCAGGCTGGAGTGCAGTGCTGCGATCTCGGCTCATTGCAAGCTCCGCCTCCTGGGTTCACACCATTCTCCTGCCTCAGCCTCTCGAGTAGCTGGGACTACAGGCGCCTGCCACCACGCCCGGCTAGTTTTTTGTATTTTTAGGAGAGGCGGGGTTTCACCGTGTTAGCCAGGATGGTCTCCATCTCCTGACCTCATGATCCGCCCGTCTCGGCCTCCCAAAGTGCTGGGATTACAGGCATGAACCACCGTGCCCGGCCCAGAAGGGGGCTTTTTGGTTGGGGTTGTACTGATAACACTTGGTGATTTAGTCACACATTCATTATTTCATTTATCCAAGTATATACTGATGCTGATAATGAACCAGGCATTCGGCTGAGAACTGGAAAAACAACGGTGACCAACACAAACACAGTGTCCACTCCACACTGAGGCGGCTCACAGTACAGTGTGGGAGGTGGGTAAAAAAATCATTTCAACATGGTAAGGTAAGTGCTATCAGGGCCAGGTGCGGTGGCTCATGCCTATAATCCTAGCACTTTGGGAAGGCAAAGTGGGAAGATCAACATAGTGAGAACCTGTCTCTACAAAAACGAAAAGGTAAGTGCTCCAGAGCAGAGAACCATGTGGGGAGCAGCACAGATAGTGTGCCTGTACCTGGAGGGGACAGGAGAGAGAGGGACGAAGGTTCTAGGTAGAGGACACATAGCATGATCTCTCCAGGTAACCCCAAAAGGTTCAGTGTGCTCAGAGAAAAGATGGGTAGAATCATAAAACCAGGAATGGAGGCAGAGGCCAAACCAAGAATAAAGACAACCTCCAAGGAGATGGAATAGATCTTAAGGGGAGGGGGTTGGCAGAGTCAGGGCAAGGTGCTGACGGCCAGGAAGTGAGGGCTCACCGACATCAGACATGACAGATCCAATCTCGCTCCTTCAAAGGCAGCTCCATACTGCAGGTTACTGTGTTTCACGACCACAAAGTCCTGAGCAGACAGGACTAGCTCTCTAGGCAGGGACCGTCAGCTGCTGGAGGGATTCACCCAGGGCCTGCATGAACACTGGCTGACCGGGATGCTAAGAAGGGGAGTGAGGTGCTGGACCAGGGCTGGACCCAATGACCTTTCAAGTTCCTTCCAAATCTGAGCTTCCAAAGCAAGCCCGGTAGCTGAACTGGTGCCACGGGCTGGGATCTGTGGCTGGGGAGCTACCCTGGGCAGCAAATGGGTTAACGCTCAAATAACTTTTATATATGAATTAATGTGTAGAGTTGGGAGCCAAAATCTGTTCCATTAATTTTTCCATCCATTCCAGGAGCAGTTAGGTACACACAGTAAAGTTTATTTTGGTGCATGGTATACTTCACTCCATTAAAAATAAATTAATCAGCAAATTCCTGCCTGGCTCAGCTCTGGTTTATGTAAATAGTGCCCAGCTGTAATGAGTTACAAGGTGTTATTATCTCACACACACACAGGAGGCTTCACTCTAGAGCTCCGCTCGCAACAAAAGCATCTTAAATAAACTGAGAGAAGGCGGTTTGATTTGTAATGTTTTCACAGAAGTGGGATATACCTCACCCATATAGAGTTTCTTTATATGACTCATTTTATAGCAAGTTAAATGAAGGAAGTTTGATGGGGGAGGAAGGGGCAATATGGTTCCCCACTCCCTTTCTTCACTTTAAGAAAATCCCCCAAGAGATGACCTGCACTGAGGGAGGAGGGGCTGGTCCTCAGGTGCTCAGACCAAGGTGGCTCTACAGCACGTGCTTCAGAAGTTGGGAAGGGGGCCCAAAGCTGGGCACACGTCTGGGTCTGCTACAACTAAGCCAGGAGGAATGTTCTCTTCTCCCTAATATCTCATGAAAGGGGAGGCCAGGAGAGGAGACAGCATGTTCCTCATTCAGTTCACTGTGACAAAGGTGACTTTGTTCTCAAGGCCTCCTTCCAAATGACGTAGGATGTGAAAGCCCTTGGTCACCAGAGGCCTCCTGGGTCCCAGACGAGGGGCCTGGCTGGCTGTGCCTTGGCCTGAACAGAGACACATCTCCATGAACTAGAGGCAAGAGCCGCAGCAGAGACCATCCCAGCCTCTTCCCTTTCTCCGTCACTAACTGAGCTGGGCGGTGCCCTCACTACCGCAGCCACCAACTCAGGCAAGTTTCTAAGTCCCTGGAATAAAGAAGGGCCATGGTAGAGAGAAGTCTGTTTCTTTTAATGGCCAACTCAACCCCATGGCTGGAAGCCGAGGGACAACGCATGGTCGCCGTCCAGACTCCGCAGCATTACAATCCGCTCCTAGGCCACAGCAGGCCCTGGGGGGTTTCCCTTTTGAACCTACGCCATCCCTTCCTCCGCCTTTGGGAAAAGCTGTCAGTCACAGGTAGTTGCTGGAGGGGGCTGGGGAGTGTGTGCTGGGGGACTCTCACTCGGGGCTTCCCGAGGGAGAGGACACGTGGGAGAGCTAGGGGTTCTCCCATCCCTGTATCCCAGCAGATCAGACTCCTGGGCACACTAAGAGGAAACTCAACACAAATGGGGCCAGGTATTTGACAGATGCTGTTCAGAGGTCAGTTCAGGCCACTTTCTGCGGGGTCCTGGACCAACAGGCACTTCTCTCCTGGCGGTTCCTCGAAGCCAGCTGGCCAGCCGTGCAGAGGGCCCAGCCCATCAAAGTCCCTCGTCGTTGTAAGTGGGAGAATGGGGCTTCAGGATGCTCTGAGGATTCTTCTCCACTAGAGGGCGCCAGCTCACCTCCCCTGTCAGAAGCAGATCCTCCCCGTTCATGGAATCCAGGTACTGCATCTGCAACCATAGGAGCGGGAAGGAGGAAGCAACAGAGGCAGGACAGACGTGAGGAGCCAGCATCAGGAACCAGCCTCCCAGAGGAGAGGAAGGAAGGGGACGGGGCATGAGGGGGGTTTCTGACCATCCCAGGTCCCAGGCCAAGCCATCTCTGATCTAGATCAATTCACTAAGGTGGTTTGGAGAAAGCAATCACTGGGGAGCTGGCTGGGGCGGGTGGGGGGGGGGCGGTTAGGGAATTCCCTATCACACCTCTGAATGGAGATGGACACACATCTCCCAAGGATACTTCTCCCCTACATGCCCTCCCTAGACAGCTCCTGCAGGCCAGGAAGTCAGGGCTTGCAGCACACACAGCCATGCTGTCCACCCCAGAGCTGCCGCGTGAGAGTCCTGATTCTGTCCCTTCCCAGTGCTGCTATCCAGGGTGGCCGCTTCTCCTCTCTGAGATTTAAGTTCCTTTGTCTGAGAGAGGGGATAGAAACACGTACCTCACAGGACACATGAAGAGATTCATATATGCAGTGCTAGTCACTCACACTTTAAGAATATGTATGCCTCTGTTGTCCTCTAGTGGGCCGCTGGTCAGTAGGCCCTAGTATCACCTCTCTAGGACAGCAGGGGCAGACAGCTCTGCCATTAAAATGGTCATCATCCAGAGAAGCCACTGCTGCAAGGCCAGGAGGCTTCATCTTAGGCTTTAGGTCATTCCTCCTTCCAAGAATCCACCATTCCGGTTGCTTCTGCTTCCAGCTGCTGACACTTGAACTCAACCCCAGCCTCTCGCACGCGCCTCAGCTCTGGATTCCCACCTGCCCTGCCATGTCTTCCCTAAAGCCCACTCCTCCTTACAGTGACTCCATTTCTGTCCCCAGTGCCACCACTCTGCCCACCTCCTGGGTTGAAAATCTCAACAAGACCTGTGGTTGGCTCTTGGGCCATCGGTCACACCAAGCAGTCTGCTCAAGGTCCAGCTCCTGCTCTTCCTTTCCCGGCCTTCAGCACTCTGCCCTCTCTGTATCACATTATGGGCTGGCTTACTCCAGGGTTAGCCATGTGCCTGGGCTTCCTCACCAAACCATGAGCTGGCCCCTCGAGGGCAGGACTGGGTCTTATTAATCGTTGCTTTCCCAAGAGTGCCTGGAGCAGCAGGTGCTCAAAAGGTTTTGCCGACATAACTGGGTCCCCACCAAAGCTCCCTGCTTTCCCAAGAGCCCCTTCGCTGTTTTTCCACTGCCTCTCACTGGGGCCACGTGGGACCTCTTGTAGGGACAATGGTTGTGGCAGCCCCTTCCTAGAGGGCCCTCAGAGAAGTCCCAGGTGTGTCTTGTGGCTTCTGGCACAAGCCCACCATGGCAGATGGAAATACTGGGCAGGTCTCGGAAAACACAGCATCTGCTTTGCGAATTGCTACTCCTGTCTGAGGGTGAGGCCAGTCAACAGGTAGTATGAGAATTCTCCGTGGGTGGGGCCCTCTGGCCATGCCATGCCTTCTCCCTGGCTCTGGCAGATTTGAAGAGTGGTCAAACAGGAGTCCTGGCTCCTGGGATTCTCTACCCTGTGGGTCTGCAGAGCCCCAGTATGTGGTTTTTCCAGCAGTTTACAAGCTAGTCCTATGAGCCCTGTCTTCTCAAGAGCTGAGCTCCAGCCTTGCCTTTCCTGGTTGTTGGAGGCTTGAAGACCATGGATACAAGTGAACAAGAGAGTAACTGTGGGATGACACCCCTTCAGCTCCAGGGGCCAGGTCATGAAGCAAAGGTGTGACTCATGGCACAGCCTGAGTTGTCTGAGGCAGCTGAGGCCTCAGTGGCCACATGAATCACGCAGCTTGGGGCCCTAGGGCAGCTGTGCAGGCTGACTCACTGGGAGGCCCTGGAAGAGTCTCTATGTCCTCTTCCCTGCCAGTCAGCTCACTCATCTATCAAGTATGAGTCTCCCATCAATACAAGATCTGAGGGCAGGGAGGTCAAGGAATTAATTCCCTGGGCTTGAGAAGAGCTATGTGGGTAAGCAGCCCCCACTGCAGAGCTTTCTCCTAGAAGCTTTGATGTTGGGGAGCCCAGGGGAGCCAGAGGGGTGAGAAACTGAAGTGGGGGGACCCTGCTTGACCATGGAGAGCATCTAGCAGGAAGAGGCTGTCTGTGAAATGCTGCCTGCTGCCCAGTCCTGCTGGAAATCAGGAGCAGGAAACAAATCCAAGTGGGTAGAGAAGGGGTCCACAGTGGGCGGCTGCCAGTGCTCATATCTGCCAGGACTCTGTGGGCCCAGCTGCTAGCATAGCACCAGGCGCATAGTAGGAAATGAGGTGCACAGTGAATGAATGACTCAAAGTTCCTGAGGGCAGGAGACTACTTGATGCCTCTTTCTCTCTCTCTTTCTTCCCATTTCCCGCTCCCTGGCCCAGTTCATGGTTGGACATACAGAGGGCGCTCCTTCTTCAGCGTCTAGCTGATGTGATCTGGTCAGAACTCTCTCAGACTGCTCCTTGGTAACTCCACCTCTCATGATCCCCTGAAAGCCCAAGAGGAGGGCCCACTGTTGCCAGGAATTGGGAGGGGAGGGAAAGGGTCGCTCACCTGTTTCCTCACATACTCCACCAGCAACTCAAGATGTCGAGGGTCTTCACATTTCCCGTTGAAGAAGGTTCTCCAGAGGGCAGCGGCCAGCCCATGATCATCTGAAAGGATCCCCTGGAACACACAGCACAGCAATGGTCTCCGGAGGGATCCACAGAGCCAGGACACAGACGCTAGGGGTACTGTGAACATGCTAGCAACCATGGAACCGGCTCAGAAGGACCCTCCACACATGAGGAAAATGGGGTAGTCACACAGTAGAGGTGGAAGGGGTCTTACAAGGGCATCTGGCCCAGTCCCTTCATTTTATTACATACAGAGGGAGAACAGGGGGTCCAGAGGGGCCAAGCTACTAGTTAGGTGATGCAGAGTGGGGACTCAGGCACAGATGCCCTCTACTCCGTACTGCGCCTGGCCCAGGCAACGCTTGAGAGGCCAAGAAGAAAAACAGTAGCAGCAATGGTCCCCTTGCTGTCCACAGGGCACAGGCTGGGAATATTGTGAATGTATGTTTCTCCCAGGAATGGAGGTGGGCATGGACTGTGCCTTCTTGCTTGGTCCAAGGACATATATCTGCAAGGCAACTGGCTCTTTGGGGAAGGGAGCCAGCTACCTTGTCTTCACTGTTACCCAACTCCGGGCCCAGCCTCTCCCTAAGTAGAGGAACAGGATGTTCAGCAGGATTGCTGGGGCCACAGAGGGCCAGGCTCAGAGCCTGCATGTGTGTGTGTGTGTGCCTAACACTGCCTCTTTTGGCACAGAGGAGACTTCTGTTGGGAAGCTCGAAGATTACAGAGCAAAATGAGAGCCCCAGCCACCAGCTAAGGACATTTTCTAGCTTGGACCTCTAGAGGAGGGAGGGTTGAGAGTCTTGCTTCCTGGGGTGAAGGTGACTGATGGAGCAGGCCCTGAGAAGTTGCTCTGTCCAGGTGTCAAGGTAGTGTGTAGAATCGATGTGCTGACTTGAAGTCAGAAGGCAGATCAAGTCCTAGTTCCACCTCTGCCAAGATCAGTGATGGTGGCAGTTGACTAAGCCAAAGTCTCAATCTTGTACTTCTTTTTTTTTTTTTTTTTTTTTTTTTGAGACGGAGTCTCGCTCTGTCCCCCAGGCTGGAGTGCAGTGGCCGGATCTCAGCTCACTGCAAGCTCCGCCTCCCGGGTTCCCGCCATTCTCCTGCCTCAGCCTCCCGAGTAGCTGGGACTACAGGCGCCCGCCACCTCGCCCGGCTAGTTTTTTGTATTTTTTAGTAGAGACGGGGTTTCACTGTGTTAGCCAGGATGGTCTCGATCTCCTGACCTCGTGATCCGCCCGTCTCGGCCTCCCAAAGTGCTGGGATTACAGGCTTGAGCCACCGCGCCCGGCAATCTTGTACTTCTTAAAAACAGATGAAGTTACCTGCTCTACTTACAGCATTCTTGAACTACTTGTTAAGTGTAATCTGTTGGATACAAAGATTAGGAGTATGCTTTGGCAGACAGCTGGGATATAGTCAAAACAGTGGGGTCTGGGAGCCAGAGCACAGAGTTCAAATGCCAGCTCTCTCATTTGATGGCCGTGTGGCCTTTGAGAAGCTATTAGCCATTTCTGAGCCTCAGTTTTTCATGAGTTAAACAAGCCTAATAATACCCATCCCACAGAGCTGTGAGAAGTGAGAGATACTGGCCATGAATGGCTCTGTAAGTGGTAAACATTACGCAAAGACCCAGGATCACTTTATTTGACATTATATTGTGGTCTGTTCTCTTGGGTATTGTGGTATATGAGGTCTGGCTCCAGGCCTGATGCCAGGAAGGGCCATGTCCAGTATGGGGTGCTGACAGTTTGGTAGAAAAACATTCCACCTGTTCCAAATGCTCTCTGATAAACACTCCTTACAGTTCCACAGCTTAGGACTGTCCTGGCACAATGGCTGAGTCAGGAAAACTGGCTTCTTTTGGCAGATGGGGAAAGGAGCAGAGGACAAGCTCAGGCACATCACCCTTCTGCAAACGATTTGCTAGCACAACAGCATGCCTGTGTCTACTGTGCCTGCGCACGTGCCAGAGCACTGCTGGCAGCAACCCACATGTGCTGTGCAGAAAGGAATGGGATTGGGAGTGGGTGTTATGGGGACCTGGAGAATGGGCAGAGCTCAGGATGGGAAAATAGGCAACTTTAGCAGCGGGTGAGATGGCTGGGAAGGGGCAACTCCATAATCAGGAATTCCTGAGCCATCAGAAAGAAAAGGATGACTCAGGACTCACTAATAGTGAGAACAACCCAACTGTTCCAGACTGTTAGGGTTCCTTCACACACCTGGCTCCTAATGATTATGTATGCCAAGTAGAACAGATATTCGCATTTGCTTTGCTTTGCTTTGTTTTGAGATGGAGTCTCACTCTGTTACCCAGGCTGAAGTGCAGTGGCGTGATCTTGGCTCAATGCAACCTCTGCTTCCCAAGTTCAAGTGATTCTCCTGCCTCAGCCTCCTGAGTGGCTGGGGACTATGGGCATGCGCCACTGCACCCGGCTAATTTTTTGTATTTTTAGTAGAGACGGGGTTTCACCATGTTGGCCAGGGTGGTCTTGAACTCCTGACCTCAAGTGATCTGCCCGCTTCGGCCTCCCAAGTGCTGGGATTACAGGCGTGAGCCACCGCACCTGGCCTGTATCCCCATTTGAAAGACAAGTAAACTGAGGCTTAGAGACTAGCTAACTGATGACTGAACTAGAACTAGCATGCAATGATGAGGTGGGGGATGGTGACTGACCCACTCTAGTCAGAACACAGAACCTGGCATAGAGTGGGAGAGCAATCAGAATGGCTGAATACCCAGCATTTTGGGAGGCCAAGCTGGGTGGATCACTTGAGCCCAGGAGTTCAAGACCAGCTCGGACAACATGGTGAAATTGTTTCCACAAAAAATATAAAAATTAGCCAGGCATGGTGGCACACGAGTCGACTCGGGAGGGATGAGGCGGGATGATCACCTGGGCCCGGGGAGGTCGAGGATACAGTGAGCTGCGATCACACTGCTGCACTCCAGCCTGGGCAACAGAGTGAGACCCTGTCTCAGAAAAAAAAAAAGAATGGCTGAATAAATTAACGAACACAACATCAGCCTTCTTCCCACCACACTGCTAGCGTAAGGCAGTGAAAACAAATGAGAGACTAATCTGAAGGTGCATATTTCAAACTAAGAAAGCAGAAAAGGAAGAAGGGTCCTGGGAACCAAACATGAGGACACACTATAATTTCCACCCAATCTAATCGGGTGCCTACTTGTTTTCCCTCACAACACAACAAAGCATCCTTCAGAAATTAAGACACCTAGGTCTAGAGTAACTGAGAGGAAGCCAAGGGGATTGTTTTGGTTTTGGAGGGTTCTGGTTCTGATTAAGGGTTTAGAGTGGCAGAGTTCCACTCAGTGAAGATTGATTTGACATCACTATGTGCTCAGCATAATGACAGGAACACAAGAGTCACCGCAATATGGTCTGAGCTCTCAGGGAACTTGCAATCTAGCTGAAGGGACAAAATCAGTGCACATCTAACAGCAGCACAGAGTAATATCCTGGAGAATGAACACATGCCAAGCTGCAGAGTGAGACTCAGCTATACTCTACATGGCTGCCTCCTTGTTCTACAGTCTTAGCTTTTATGACAACTCCTCAGAGAGACCTTCCTGGTCCACACTAAGTCATTCCCCCTGTTATTCTCTCTCACTGCACTTTACTGTAGTTTACTGCTTGTTTATCTTTTACTTGTTTACTATGTCTCTCAATTAGAAGGTAAGCTCCAGTGGGAAAGAGCCAGACCATGTTTGTTTTATGCACCAATGTATTTTCATGTATCACACATGGTAGACACTCAAAAGCTACCTGTTAAATGGATAATGAATAGATGGATGGGTGTTGAAATTCACAGTAAAAACACAAGACAGCCAGAGAGGTCAGGGAAACCTTTCTGAAGAAGTGGGCCTTTAAGAATTGGGAGAATTGAGCCAGGCATGGTGGCTCACGCCTGTAATCCCAGCACTTTGGGAGGCCAAGGCGGGCAGATCACAAGGTCAAGAGATCGAGACCATCCTGGCCAACATGGTGAAACCCCCGTCTCTACTAAAAATACAAAAAAAACTAGCCGGGCACAGTGGCACCTGCCTGTAGTCCCAGCTACTTGGGAGGTTGAGGCAGGAGAATCCCTTGAACCCGGGAGGCGGAGGTTGCAGTAAGCTGAGATCGCACCACTGCACTACAGCCTGGCAACAGAGAGAGACTCCATCTCAAAAAAAAAAAAAAAAAAAATGGGGGGATTTTTAGAGCTGCAGATTTTTTTTTTTTTTTTTGAGACGGAGTCTCGCTCTGTTGCCCAGGCTGGAGTGCAGCGGTGCGATCTTGGCTTACTGCAAGCTCCGCCTCCTGGGTTCACGCCATTCTCCTGCCTCAGCCTCCCGAGTAGCTGGGAATACAGGTGCCCGCCACCACGCCTGGCTTTTTTTTTTTTTTTTTTTTTAGTAGAGACGGGTTTTCACCATGTTGGTCAGGCTAGCCTCGTGACTCTTGGTCTGGTGACCCACCCACCTCGGCCTCCCAAAGTGCTGGGATTACAGGCGTGAGCCACTGTGCCTGGCCAGCTGCAGATTATTCTAAGCAAGAGAAAATGTTCAAAACATTTACAGAGGGAGTGCCTACAAGGTACGCCAGGTCCTGAACCAGGGCCTAAAGCCGACCAAGACTCAGCTACTGCCCTCAACCCCTCGTTTTAGGTAGAGTCTCAGTCAGACACAGCATATCTATGGGGCAGTACGGCAAATGGCCTAAGAGAGAGCACAAGAAATATAAAGGTAAATAGGGCACATAGCAATGGCAACAGTTCACAGAAGGCCTGGAAGTTCAGGGAGCAATTTGGACCTAATGTCATAGGAAACAGGGAGGTTCCCAGAGCGTCCAGTGAGGGGGAAGAATCCAAGCAAGATTCTAGGAAAAGGCTGCTGTACAACAGCGCTGTCCAACAGAACTTTTTGTGATTATGGAACTGTTCTGTATCTGCACTGTCCAAGACAGTAGCCACATATAGTAACTGAGTATCTGAGGATCTGAATTTTCCATTTTATTTAATTAATTTATGTCAAAATAGTTGCATGTGTTTAGTATCAAATAGCTCTAGAACCTTGTGATTCCAAGTGTGGTCTGTGAAATGGCTGCACCCCAATCACCTGCAGCCGTTAGCAATGCAGAATCTCAGGCCCCACCCCAGACTTGCTGAGTCAGAATCTGAATTGTACGTAGGTCCTCTAGGTGACTCACAGGCACATTAAAATATAGGAAAAACTTCTAGAATTGCACCTTAAAATCACCTGGGAACTTTTACAACTACAGATGTCCACCTCCACCAGTTAAATCAGAACTTTGGGGGATAGGACCCAGACACTGATATTTCTAAAAAGTGTCCCAGGTTATTAGTATATTTCCCCAAATTTCCTGCTCTTAAAAGTCACCTTGGAGTGACATATTGAACCACCAAGCAGCACTCCTACTGAATTGGAATCTTCAGAGAGGTGATAAAGATTTACATTTTAAAAGCACTCCAGGTGACTCCTGTGGTCAGGCACAGTTGGGTAAAATGGCTCTGCCAGAATGGACTGGATGGGGGACTGGGAACAAACAATTCGGTACATTTTTATTAATATTGATGAAAGGATCGACTGAGCCAACAGAGCCACCTGCAATAAAGACCATAAACAAAGGCTCATAGAGAGGTGTAGTTCTTCACTCCTAAGCCTCATCCTTTTCTATATAGTAAGGCTTCTATAATTACAATTCGTCCTCTTTTATAATTGATATGTAGGCCAGATGCGGTGGCTCACACCTGTAAACCCAGCACTTTGGGAGGCCGAGGCAGGCGGATCACCTGAGGTCAGGAGTTCGAGACCAGTCTCAACATGGAGAAACCCCGCCTCTACTAAAAATACAAAATTAGCCAGGCGTGTTGGTGCATGCCTGTAATCCTAGCTACTCGGGAGGCTGAGGCAGGACAATTGCTTGAACCTGGGAGGCGGAGGTTGCGGTGAGTCAAGATTGTGCCATTGCACTCCAGCCTGGGCAACAAGAGTGAAACTCCGTCTCAAAAAAAAAAAAAAAAAAAAAAAAGATATGTACACTTGAGCAATAATTCTCAATTCCCATCCCATAACCACCAAAAGCTCATGTTAAGTTAATGATGTGTATAGTATGCAATCTAAATGCTTCCTTCTAATTCAGGATATCTAGGAGAACAGGAATCAGGAGACCCTATTTTAACTGGTCCTATGACCCTAACCAAATCATTTAACTGGATTTTTTTTGTAAGCTTGTCTCCTGGCTTTAATTATGATCTTCAGGCTGGTAACATTTCCTCCAATCTGAACTCCAGTTTCTTACTTTTGTCCTTTTGTGCATTTCTCACTCGGTGACTATCACATGCCAAGCACTATGTCAGGCCACATAAATGCAAACACAGTAGGCATTGCCACTACCCAAAAGGAAATCCCCACCCAGCCAGGGTGACAGATAATGTGAATATAGTAAGCACTGTGAGAGTGCAGGGAGGATGGAATGAGCTGAGCCACAGCAAGTTCAGGAACTGCTTCCCAGGAGGGGTCATGCTTGCATTAAATCTGGAGGTAACCATAAAATCAGTATAAAAGCATCTGGTTAGTTTAAAATATCAGGTGTTCATTACACCATTCTTTCTACATGCTTGAAATCTCCACAATAAATGTTGGGGAGAAAAAAGATGAGATTGATGAACCTCGAGGGCATTATGTTAAGTGAAATAAGCCAGTCACAAAAGGTCAAAAATTGTATGATTCTACTTACATGAATTATCTACAGTAGTCAAATTCACAGAGGCATAAAGTCAAATGAATGGTGGTTGCTAGGGGATATGAGGGAAGGAGGGAATAATTATTGTTCAATAGGGACAGAGTTTCAGCTTGGAAGATGGAAAAGCTCTGGAGATGAATGGTGGTGATGGTGCAAAGCAATGGGAATGTACTTTATGCTACTAAACCATACAGTTAAAAATAGTTAAAATTGTACATTTTATGATATGCATATTTTACAATTTTTTAAAAAAGATGAGATAGATCCAAATGTCCTGATGTGGAAGGACACCCAAGATACACACTTTGGTGAAAAAAGCAAGTTGCAGAATCATGTGTCTAGTGTAACTCCAGTTGCATAAAGAAGGAAAAGATAAAGGTGCTTGTCTATGCACAGACAACATTTGGAAGGACATCCAATAAACTAGGAATTAAGTTTTTGTCTGGAGCAGGGTGGGAAATAGGTCTTCTCATTTCGTGGGTTTTTTTTTTTTTTTTTTGAGACCAAGTCTCACTCTGTCGCCCAAGCTGGAGTGCAGTGGCACAATCTCAGCTCACTGCAGTCTCCGCCTCCCAGGTTCAAGCGATTCTCGTGCCTCAGCCTCCCAAACAGGTGGGATGACAGGCACATGCCACCATGCCCTGCTAATTTTTGTTATTTTTAGTAGAGACGGGGTTTCATCACGTTGGTCAAGCTGATCTCAAACTCCTGACCTGAGGTGATCCATCCGCCACGGCCTCCCAAAGTGTTGGGATTACAGGCGTGAGCCACCGTGCCCAGCCAGGTCTTCTAATTTCTACTTCAACCATTTATGCACAGCTTTACAAACTTTTATTTTTATTTATTTATCTTTTTTTGAGACAGAGTCTCACTCTGTCACCCAGGCTGGAGTGCAGAGGCATGATCTCGGCTCACTGCAACCTCCGTCTCCCAGGTTCAAGCGATTAACCTGCCTCAGCCTCTGGAGTAGCTGGGATTATAGGCACCCACCACCATACCCAGCTAATTTTTGTATTTTTAGTAGAGATGGGGTTTCACCATGTTGGCCAGGCTGGTCTCGATCTCCTGACCTCAAGTGATTCGTTTGCCTCAGCCTCCCAAAGTGCTGGGAGCCACTGCGCCCGGCCAGTTTTACAAACTTTTAAAATGAGTATGTATTGCTTTCATAATTACAGCAAAAAAAAAAAAAGTGTATACTTTGCCTGGCAGACCACGCTGTTTACATGAATGTCCTCCTCTCTCTGGGAGCACATGGGGCTAAGACAGTGTCTCATTTGCCTCTGTCCCTCCATCCAGCACCCAGCAGTCACTCAACAAATGCCAGTTGAATGGTTTGACCATATTAAATACTGCCTTCTTTCCCAAACACGTGGCATGTTTCCCAAACATGCTGAGCATATTCATTCTCGCTGCCCAGTTGATGAATATGAAGAAATAAATACTACGCCATGGTGGTAGCCAGTAACAACGGTCCCTGCAGCTTCCCTCAGAGGCTCTCATCAAAAGCTTTTGCTGGGGGAGGCCACTGTTCTGCCTAAGCCTTGGTAAATGATCTTACCTCATCATATCCCAAGATCGCTGCATAGAAATGATTTGTCATGAGGATCATGTTCTTCTTCAGGATATAGGGATTAACCTACAGAAACAAATGGCAAAAACAAAAGTATGAAAGAAAGAATGAAAAAAAAAACAAAAAGTAGGATCTTTGACTCTTGGTTGTCACAGACTCTTAGTAGAACAGAGAGACAGCCACTAACAAGTCAAGCTGCCGGTCCATTCTCAATTCCCTGACCTGTCAGGATTCTCCCCAATTTGCCAACTTCTTTTAGGTTTTGATCTCAAGTTATACAAGTCAGCTTAATGAACTGAGCCCCAAACACATGTTTAGTTTTGTGCTAGATCCTATGAACCAAGTATAAGAAAAGGTTTCTTGATTGGAGGAGCTCAGTCCAATGTAGGAAAATAGGCATATAAAAAATAATTACACTGCAACATGTTGCCTCAAATCCTATTCCAAACATGCTGAGTGATAAATGGGTTTTAGTTTTACCTGCTTGAGGGAGCTGGTAAGTGCTCTCCAGGAGGTAACATTTAAGTGAACCTTGGAGGAGGAGGAATTTGACAGAGGAGGGAGAGAGAGCATTCTAGACAGAAGGAGGTGTGCAAAGGTGCAGAGGCTGGAAAGAAAATGACTGGCACAGGGAGGGTGCCACTGACAGGGAGGGTGAATGGGCAGGATCACAGGAAAGGTATGTTGAGACTAGGTTAGGAGACATCTTAAGGGTCACTCAAGAGTTTGTTGTGATGAAAAAACAAAGAGAAGGAAGTGGTCAGAGATGGGAAGAGGAGGGAGAGAGGCAGGACTGTGAGAGACATGCTGAGGAAAAAGGGGGGCCTCTGAGGCTATGGAAAGGAGGGAAGAACAAAGCAGGGGCAACTCTGAAGCAAGAAGAATGTTAAAGTTAAGAGATCATCTTGGCTGGGTGGTGGTTCACACCTGTAATCCCAGCACTTTGGGAGGCCAAGGCAGGCAGATTGCTTGAGCCCAGGAGTTCGAGACCAGCCTGGGCAACATGGTGAAACCCCATCCCTACAAAAAAATACAAAAATTAGCCTGGTGTAGTGGTGCGTGCCTGTAGTCCCAGCTACTTGGGAGGCTGAGGTGGATTACTTGAGCCTGGGAGGCCGAGGCTGCAGTGAGCCAAGATCACGCCACTGCACTCCAGTCTGGGCAACAGAATGAGGGTCTGTCTCAAGCAAACAAACAAAAACTCAGAGACTGTTTTAGAAATGCTATTCTGGTGAGATGCTTGAGAGTCCGGTAGAACTCCTCTCTCCTCTCAGGGAACAGCCTGGCCAGGAGGATCTTCAGGGCCCAGAGTGAAGTTCGCTGAATGCCTTCAATAGGGAACAGCTCTGACCTCCAGACAGTAACATGCTGTAAGGCAGGGTCCACGTTTTATTCCTCTTCAGGATCCCAGCAGAAAGCCAGTGCAATGTAGAGCACAGAGTAAGGACTCACTGACTATCTGAACTGATGGTTTTGGAAACAGCCAAAAGGCATTTGGAACTTTATATGGAGAACAAGATTTCTGCTTAACAACTCTGATGGTGACCATGCCCACGGTCATCTCATTTACCAAGTACCTGTCATGGGCCCGGAGCTTTATGGACACTATCTCCTCTAATCATCACCAGAACTCAGAGGTAGATGTGTTACAGTCACTCAGACTATAAGTGACTGTGTGAGAGACTCAGCCGGGTGAAGTGATGCCTTGTGTCGCAGAGCAAATTCATGATAAAGCTGAGATCAGCATCCAGGTTAGTCTGAATCCAGAGTCCACGCTCCTTTCAGTCTGCCAGGGTTCTGCTTCTGGGAGGATAATTTTACTTTGGGTCACAAATCAAAGACTGAGTGATTTTATCCTGTGACTCATAACTAGTGGGAAGAAATGCAGAAAGGGAGATCTGGATTTAGACTCAGAAAACCTGGGTTCAAGTGATAGTTTTGCTATGTACACAGGATGTTATCTTAAGCAAGTCAACTGGAGACCATTTCTTTTTTTCTTTTCTTTTTTTTTTTTTTTTTTTGAGACAGAGTCTCGCTCTGTTGGCCAAGCTGGAGTGCAGCGGCATGATCTCAGCTCACTGCTACCTCTGCCTCCCAGGTTCAAGCGATTCTCGATTCTCCTACCTCAGCCTCCCGAGTAGCTGGGATTATAGGCACCTGCCACCATGCCTGGCTAATTTTTTTGTATTTTTAGTAGAGATGGGGTTTCACCATGTTGGCCAGGCTGGTCTCAAACTCCTGACCTCAGGCGATCAGCCTGCCTTGACCTCCCAAAGTGCTGGGATTATAGGCATGAGCCACTGCACCTGGCCTCTTTTCTTTTAAATGCCCTACACACAGGGCTGTTTGGAAGAGCACGTGAATTAGCATGCATTCATTCGTTAATTTAATAATGTGTGTATGCTGAAAGCCTTGGTAAACTGCAGAATGCTCTGCAAATGTAAGGAATTATAAGTAATAACTTCTGGTTTGTTTACATAAAACCAAAACCAGTTCCAATGCTTTACAGTCATGGATAATTTTCAAAAATGAAAGGACTGTGAAGCTCAAGGCTGGAAAATGCAGACTGGATGTAAGTAGGAGTGCAAACCATGACCTATCCCACACACCTTCAACCAGGGCCACATTAGCCATCCATCCTTGGTGTTCTCACAGCTCTCTGGGCATACTTTCTCCCCTGGGTACACACACGGTTTAGAGCTGCTTATGCACCTGTCTCTCCCACTAGTCTGGGAGCTACTCAAAGGTCATAGGAACCATGTCTGATTAATCTCAGCACCCCCCATCATCTGGTCCAGTGCCTAACCCAGAGCAGGGGCTAAGACAGGCTTGCTGGTAACTGAATTTTTACAAGGGCCTGTGTACTACGCCATGCATAGCATGTTCTATCCAACTAGTTTTCTGGGGGGTTTTCTTCTTCTTCTTTCTTTCTTTCCCCCTGCTGAATACATTCCGTGTTTCTGGAATTTCAGAAACATATACTGCCAAACTTCTACTGTCCCATCTTCCAGAAAGGGCTGGGGTAAAGGGAAGAGTCAAGAAATAGGCCAGAGCTAGAGGTCGTTCCTTCTGTCACGTGAGGATGAGACTACAACTCAAACCTCCTGATACCCACACTTGGAGGCTCTCCCTACTCCCACGTGAGCTGTTCTCCTGTGTTAGGAATAATCGCAGCGATATCATAATAATATAACGGACAATATCAGAGGTATCAAACAGTAAGGCAGGAGCATCTCTCAGAGGAAAACATTCACTGAACCTGCCTAGCAGAGCTAGTTTATGTCACGTATCACACCATTAAGCTCTGGTGCAGGAAGGGCCCTCAGAGATTACCTAGCTCAATACCCTTGAGGAAAGGGTGAACTGAAACCCAGAAAGAAGAGACTTATTCAAGGTCACACATCATAGTGTCAGAGCCAGGATTAGAACCTGATTTCTGGGTGAGTGCTTTTCCTACTTTACCATCTGCAGGGTATTTCCAGAGATCACCAACACATTCATCTGCAAACCTCAGTTCTTGCTTTCCAGCAAGGCCCACATACATACAAACACATTTTCTCCTCTTGGGATACACCTGCATTCTGGTTGGCTACTGCCCAGGAAAAACAGAGAGCAAGAGTAGAGTTCCTTACTAGCAAGGCTCCTTGACCTTCTGGTCCTATATTCCAACTCCAGTGACCTGTAAGCTGCCTCTCCCTTCACCTCTAGCTGAGACAATGGCAAGCTGCCACAGCTAGAAATGCTTTTCAGAAATCATCACCCAGGTTGGATTAGATCATGAAAAGGGCCCTTCCTGGAAGAGGGTGAAAGTGCAATCAGTACAGACACATGATCTGCAGGGCAACAGGTGAGGGCAAGTGACAGCAGCTTCCTCAACTACCGGACTCACTTGGCGGGGCCCTTCTAGCTAGTTCAGCAGCCAAGGGGAGCGGGGTATTCGCTCTGGTGAATCCCTGCTGGATTTTAGTCCCTCATTTAAGTTTTTGGTTGCTGGTGTGCAGGTTCCCCGCCTCGCCACTGCCAGATCACACCATATGGAGCACTCTGCCCATGACTACACAGCTGCACCCAGCAGAAGAGAAAGTCCTCCCAGATAGTGTTGGGCCGTTCTCTTATTAAACTCATCCTTTCCATAATGCTTTGCTTTTCATAAAAACCCATACATACAACGCCACAAGGAAAAGGTTCCTTTTATATCAGTTACTCATATTTTCCCATTTATTTAAGCCATTAAAATTCATGCAGATATTTTATAAGCCATCAGGATTCAGTGACTGGTATTACTGAATGTTTAATAATAAACTAAACAGAAGAAATCAGAGGGTTAAATGATGACTGCAATTCCTGTAATGACTTAATTAAATTTTTATTGAGTACATAAACTATGATGTCACTTCTAGCCAACCATAGGCCTGCTTTCCCAGCATGTCACAGGGAGGGAGCACTCAATAGGAGGCTCGGCTAAATGAGCAGCAGGTCTCAGCTGAAATGGGGAGGGGAGTGAGGCTCATGTAACACACTCAATAAATTATCCGTTCATTTTTAAACAAAGTCCATGAGTTATAATATATTTGCCATGCACTTTTTATGACATAATAAAAATGTTACCTTAAGGATTACTTAACACATACTACAAATGTTATAGCAGAGGCAGGCACAAGGGGCAAAGAAAACAAACATGAGCAGGCCAGGGACAGGTCCTGGAGTTTATGTCCCAGGGGAAACAGCATAGTATATTAAAAAGGGAATGCAAAAAAAAAGGAGGGGATGCAAGAGTTCAGGGTTACTAATCAGCAGATTAATGAATGAGACAACCAACAGGGAACACAAGTAAGGCAATAATGAATCTTGCAGGGCACATGTTTAATTAAAGTAGCATTCTCAAGGAGGAATATTAGCTTTAAAGAGATGCCAGTTCATTCGAGGCCAATTCGCTGCTCTCTTTCCCCTTTTCACTGTTGCTGCTCTTAAAGATATTTATGTGACTGCTTAACAGAGGAACCAGACTATGTGGATATAGGGACTGACGGGAGATCAAGTTTTAACTCCTCCGTGAACTCTGCAAG